TAATAGTTATCATTATTATTATTATTATTATTATTATTATTATTGTTATTGTTATTATTATTATTATAATAATAATAATAATTATTATTATTATATATTATTGTTATTATTATTGTTATTATTATTATTATTATTATTATTATTATTATTATTTTTATTATTATTATTATTATTATTATAGTTGTTATCATCATCATTATTATTACTGTTACTATCATTATTGCTCTTATTATTATCGTTGTGGTTGTTGCTACTATATTTATTGTTTTACTATTATTTTTGTTGTTGTTGTTGTTCTCACTATTATTATTTTGTTAGTATTTTTTCCCCCCTTTTTTTTTAGTTATTATTATTACTATTATTATTATTATGTTATTACTGCTAGTTCAGTATGTGATTTTATTTGTTTATTATTTTTATTTATTTTTTTTCTCAAAAGCAAAAGAAGGGTTTGAGAACTTAATAATTCTTTTGTATTTCATTTACCTGTGCACATATTTTTCCTTTTTCCTTATTTGTTGTTTTTAAGGTTCTTTTAGATCTAACCCATGTTGATAAAATAAGGCAGTATTCCAAAGAGAAGAGACAAATTTACAATCGCTTTATAGTCTTCCAAAGAGTTTTTTAAGTTCAGTCATGTTGGTAAATAAGACAGTTGAAATCATTAAAAGATTTTTTGTCTTAATTGGTAAAAATATTGGAATTTATATATTTTGGGGCTTTATATATATTTTGATTTCTCCGTTTTTGACAGTGCGTCTCTCTAAGATACGTTTGACCAATATTGTTGAAAACTTTTATTTTAGTGTTCATACAAATGATAACCACTTTTTTTTTTTTTTTTTTTTTTTTTTTTTTTTTTTTTTCCCAAGTTTTGAAAATGCAAAAAATAACAATAAATAATGATAATATTGATAGTAATAATGATTTCCGCATGGTTATGTATAGGACATTTACCCTTTGATACCAGGAGGCATGTATGTGTGCAGTGCCCGCTCTAGTTTTGCTTTATTCATTTTATTTACATATAGATGGTTCTAAAAGTTGTCAGTCACCAAGGCATTAGTTACTAGGCCTATGTGACCACCTCAACTGTTTCTAGTTTTATCGCTCTTGTTATTGGTAATGATTTTATAATAGTAACATTGATAAGAACAATAATGGCATTAAAATTATAATGATAAAAGAAAAAATTGAAGGATTGAAGGAACTGGGAAAACAAGGGAGATCAGTTAGGCCTTGTAATTGACTTCTAGGTGACTAATGCTTGTGGAACTATCTGTGTAAGCAAAGGTCATAAAGCAGAACTCCAGTGAACAGCACGAGTAACTGGCTCCAGTGGGTTAGTATCAGTAAATAAACATTGAACTACCCTTATAGAATGATGTAGGAATATGGAACTGTTAGAACGACTATAATAGGTAATAGATGGTACTCTCTCAGAGGATAGCAGGGAATAATGATTATTACCTCATTGGATCTGTTGCTTCATGAGTTGGATGGATCATTTTAAAAATTGGTAGTTTTGTTGTTTGCCAGTAGATAATATTTTTATGTAAATTTTAAGTTTCATAGGTAGTTTTATTATTTTATATTTTTCACATTCATGGATGTATTATATTTTGCCTGTTTTGCTTGAGTTTTGACTGTGACATGAAAAGCTGAAAGAGAGAGAAAGAAAATAATAAATTGCTAAACTAATTTTAGATTCTCTTAGGAGGTTCACAGGCTTATGAACTTACCTGATTAATTTCCTGCACGAAAGGAAGGAATTTCCACGAGTTCTTTAGGACCTTTGCCGACCAAACATTTATTGATTAGATTTAGTAATGTAGAGCAATATCTGTTCTTCAGCAACTTATGGTTCTGTATGTCCTGTTTGCAAATCATGATTATGTTGATGAAAGAACTTTAAGATGAATGAAAATGAAAGCTTAATTTAGTTCAAGGAGTTAGAACTTAGTGGGGACGAACTTGCAGTATGTAGTCTCCCTGTTAGGGTTGTAGCATAGAAGGAGAGAGTGAGAGTCTAAGTAGAGAATAGTTAAACCTCATTTGCCCATAAGAAGTGCAGTTACCCAATTCTTGCCTCCTGTCCCATAATAGGCAGTAAATCACAAGATTCATATTTTATTTTTATTTTATTATCTTATTATTTTCTTGATTATTTTTATGTAATCTTGTAAGCTTCAGGGCATCCTTTGGTGAAAACAACAACAAAAAACTTTAAACTTAGTATGGCCATAGTTGTTGCTCATATTCAAGTTGGTCCCTGGAGTTTTCAATTTGAACTGAAATGACGTTAAGTGATACTCGCGTTCACATGTTTAAATCCATAATAAAATTCCCATATTTTGTTCACATTGGATTTTTAGTCCTATGTTGTTTGCCTGTCTGATATCAAAGTATTTAATTTATGTTAGTTATTGTTGCAATTGAAAAAAAAAAGTAAAAAATCCACAGGAGCAACAGTGAATGAGGTTCAGTTGTGCTTTTTTTATCACTTAAATCGAATAGAATTGACATTCTTAGATGGCGATACTTTATTTGTTAATAATGACGTTTACACAGATTAATAATAGGAAAATTGCTGTGCAAGTGGCAGTGCCCAAACTTTCATGTTGTGTGTGCATGCCCTTTAAGCCTTCTCCTTTATCTTCACTTCTTTTTTAATTAACAAATGCAAGTTATGTCTTTGTGTATTAGATGGCAGCTCATACCTGTATTTTTTTTTCTTTCTTTCTTTTATTTCTTTTTCTTTCTTTCTTTTTTTATTATGTTCTCTTATGATTACTAATTCCTCGTTGTTGCTTTGTTCTTGTTTGTGTTATTGCTGTTGTGGGCACTTTTGCTTTCTTGTTGCTGCCTGTGTGATTCTGGTTTCAAAATTTATTTGTCATATAGCTGTTGTTGTTTTGTTATTGTTATTGTTATTATTATCATTATCATTATCATTATTGTTATCATTATCATTATTGTTATCATCATCATCATCATCATCATCATCATCATCATCATCATCATCTCAGTTACTTTCCATTATCAGAACTATGATTATCACCGTATTTTTGACCATGCTGTTTTCATTCATCATCATCATCATAATTATTATTATTGTTATTGAAGTTGTTTTATTATCATGATTATTGTTATTGGTTCTTTTATTACTTATATGATTTTAATTTCTATTATCATGACTATGATTATCATTACTTTTTTTCATAATCATTATTATTGTTTCTTAGGATTTTTTGTCAGTGTTATTATCATCTTCATCATTATTATAATTATATGATAATTATTAGTATCATTGTTCCTATTATTTTTTATTGATTAAATTATTATGATTGTGATTATTGTACAGCTTGCACTTTCAAAGTTATTAATTCTGTCCTTTTTGTATTTCTCCTCCTCCTCTTCCTCCTCCTCCTCCTCCTCCTCCTCCTCCTCCTCCTCCTCCTCCTCCTCCAGTTCTTTCTACCCCAGCACTACCTTCTCTTCCCAAATCTGTAACAAGTCTTAATAATGAAACTGGTAAAAGAGAGCCTGTATGCTGTCTGTGTCGTGTGCTCACATTTATTATCCTTTGGGAGTAACCTGTGGTATCTCTGCCCTCAGGTGCATACTCAACACTACAAGTACAAAACCACAAAGAACCGTGATGAGGAGCTGAAGGCGGCCATGGAGGCGACTGCAGGGGCCATTGACACCAGTGCAGAGGTGGTGGAGGACGAAGCAGAGAAGCTCTCAGACGAGGCCAACGAGTACAGGAACTGGTGTAAGCTCATGGAGATCAATGCGATGAAGAACATTGGTGCCAGTACAACAAATGCCCCGCCGGAGGAGAAGAAGAAGGCCGGCAACAGCAGTTAGTGTCTGTTGTGAGAGGTAGTGAGTGACTGGGCTTTGCAGGGGGGCGATGGAAGGACGCCCATCCCCGACTGTGCTCGGTTTGGTAATGCTGACGCACCCTGGCTCATTTACCCTCAGGAAGGTGCAGTTTTTGTGTTCAGTGGGAGGGAAAAAGACGTTCATCCTGTGTGCGCACAGGTTCCCTTCGGCACCAAGGCACTTGTGTGAAGATGTGAAAGGAGAGAGTTAAAGAGAGGAAAGGAGTGAGTTGAGATGCACCTTGGCAAAGGTATCGTAAAAAGTGATGTAGAGAAGTCTTCTGATGTAGATTATTTATTCTTGATCTGTTGGAAAATGGAAGAGCAATAATAATATTAGTACTAACAGGGCAGTTGTGTTTGAAATTCTAGCTTGAGTGTGGAAGAAAGTTTGTTAGTCATTAGAAAAATCTGGAATTATGAAGGAAAAGAACCTCATAAATATTTGATATCAAGATTACGGTGGTGCAATAGATCTCAGTAGTGAGAGTGAAGTCTTCACTGTCTGTATTTGGTGCAGCAGAGACAGCAGATGTATCCATAAATGATATGATAATATTATAGACGGACAAGTCTGCTAGCTTACCTCCGAGTGCCATAGAACTGTGATTTTGGTGCGATACTCAGTTCTGAATGGTGTGTGAGTCCCAAGTGGACTTTAAAAAAAAAACTGATATTCAATGCAGGGCAGATGTTATGTATGGCACAGGAATCTGGACAGTGTCCACCATGCTGGTCTCCAAGACAAATGTATGGGTGATTTCATGTTTATAGCAGCTTCATATCACATGTTTGTACATAATGACAGTGTGTGAGTAGTTTATGTAAGTACGTGACCACCAGTGTTGTGCTTTGTTTGTGTAATTATAGATATTAAAGTTTTTGAAGATAGGGAATCTTAACTTAGGTTTTTATTTGTACTTATGATTGTTTTCTACTACCACTACTACTTCTCCTACATGATTTGTGGTTTATAGGCTATTTTTTGTCAGAAATAGTTGTGAACATGAAAGCATTTACAATTATGCAGGTTTTCTGTATCTGCATATGGCATTTATAAACTGCAGGTAATTTGCTTTTAGATATGTTGCCTAAGCTTTTAGCTTGTCT